GGGAAAATTAATTATGGAAAGATTATACATTCCCCAAGGAAGTATGATGTTTAATTGAAAAGAAATGTTAAAGATGTTAAGACTTTAATGAATATTAATGATAGAACTGAACTGGAATGGAATGAGGGTTTTAATTACATATATTTATAATCCTTTTTTTTAAATATAGTGTGTATTTTAAGAATGTACCAAGCAGAATTTGATTGGAAGTTATGTATTATGTATTATATTGAATGTTATAACCCTAAGGTATACATTGAAGTTTAAATAAGAGTTGAATGGATAAAATTAAAAGATATAAAGGTGTCATACTCCAATTAGTAACTACAGGAGAAAATTTGTTTAATGAGAAAAGATAATATGAAATTGAAACAGGACAGACAATAGTATAAACATAATGATTTGAATTGAGATGAGATAATCAAAATAAAGTTGAGAAAATTAAAAGAGGGGAAAAACTATATAGAAAATACAAAATAGTAATAAGATATGGAATAGAACACAAAAATGAGCGTGAAATTGAGTTTGTGTCTGTATAAAGAAGTGTAACCCGGGACCATGCTATTTTCAAAAAAGATGTTTTACTTGTATTTTGTGTGTGTGAAAACCCAAATAAAACTTTAAAAAAAACATTCTACTTGTTCATTTATTTACTGAGGAAAATAATCTAAAGCTACGTATTTGAGTGGGGCAAAAAAAAAAAACCACAACTTATATGTAATCACATCAGAAATGTAGTTATTTGAGGGACAAACTTATTTATTCATTCTGTTTACTTACAAAATGTATATCCAGAATTCATATTATATTGTTTTAAAAAGTAGCATACCTTAAGAATTCTAGTCTTATTTAAACAGTCAACTTGATTAACATGAATACATAATGACTGCCTTAAATCTCACACATCTATTCTTTCTTTCATCCTTTGGTTTTTGTGCAAGGGAAGAAGCGGAGTGTTCTGCTACCTCTTAGCCCCTCTGCCTTGCTGATTTTACCATTTTGTTTCGTAGGCCAGGATCTCAAATTCTGGAATCCTACTTTAGGATCCTAAAATGGAAATGGGACATGCTCCACACTCTTAAAAGAAGAAGCCGTGGTTCCTTATTCCTCAACTGAGCTTTTGAGATTCAGCCACAGTTTTATGCTTTTGCCCATTCTATTTATTCCGTATCCCACAGAAGAGGGAGAAGGGAATGAAATAACTAGAAGCTTCCACAGCATGGGGTTGGAGAGGCCATCTATACAAGGGAGCGCACAGGTGACTGGGGCAGACTGGGGCCTTTGCCCCCCCCCACATGCTCCCCATGTGGCCCCTCACCAGAAATCCTGAATAAAGGCTTCCAAATAAATCCTGTTTCCAAAGGCAGGATCTCTTTAATCACTTTAAGAAGAAATTGGACAGCCATTTATTTAGAATGCTATAGGTCCGTGATGGTGAACCTATGGCACGTGTGCCAGAGGTGGCACGCAGAGACCTCTTTGTGGGCAAGTGAGCCATCACCCCAGCTCAGCTCTGCCGGCATGCGCATGGGCCCCCTGCCGGCCAGCTGGTCCTTGTGTCTCTGCTGTGCATGCACGGGGGACACGCATGCATGGGGGAAGGGCACATGTGCAGGGGACGCACACGAATTGCATTTTGGAGGTTTGCGCATGTGTTTTGGGCACTTGGTGCCAAAAAAGTTAACTATCACTGCTATAGGGTAAGGGTGTCCAATCTTGGGAACTTGTCTGGCTGGGGAATTCTGGGAATTGAAATCCACAAATCTTGGAGTTCCAAGATTGGACACACCCCTCGTATAAGGTCTCTTGCTTGAACAGGGGGTTGGACTAGAAGACCTCCAAGGTCCCTTCCAACTCTGCTGTTCTGTTTGTTATTATTCCTGAATGCTGTTAATTGATTCCTTCATCCCTGCAATAAAAGGGGTGGGGGAGAGACCAGCTGTGATGACCCAGGGTGGGATACAAAACAAACACAGTCATAGAAAACAGGTAAAGCCCCTTTTATTCCTTCAGTTTGCTTCCAAGCTCTGAATATCTTTGATGGAAGACAAAAAAAACCTCCCACACAGCTACACGAAGAAGGAAAAAAGCCACACAAACCAGGCAAGATAAGGTCTGGAGGATGTCCACATATAACACACACTGGGAAGGATGCCAAACTCAGAGAGGAACTATAAACTAGAGATATTTACACAATTTGTTTCCAGCGTTTGCCAGAACGCAGGTCCAAACTCTTGTTCAGTTGTCACACTTACAGCCCATGAAGGGGATCAAGGTCCTCTCCTCCCGAGGTGACCACGTCTCTCCCTTATCCTCTCTTCCCTGCGTGCCCTAGGATGGATAGGGGATGGGCCTGGATCCTCCTCTGACTGCTCAGCCTCCTCCACAACCTCCGGAGCCACACTTCCACTCCCTGTCAGCTGTTCCTCCTCTCCCTCAGAGTCAGTCTCCACCAGGGGCATGACACCAGCAAACTCTCCCTGCTCTGCCAGATTTCATGGATTCCAGGCTCTGTGCTGTAGAGAAAAATTCAGAGTTCCTAAGTTGCACAGATGACTCTCATCAGTTTTCAGATCTTGGTACAAATTACGGCGTACAGCCCTTTCTTGGCTACCTAGAATATAACCTTGTTGTCTATGGAAATGATAAATTAAAGAGTCCTAGGAGGATTTGTATGTGTTATCATATGACAGAATCCACCAGGATCATTTCCTGGGTAACCATTACTCAAAAAGCTGCGTTTATGCGAGAAGCACAGATGTACTCCCCTTGATCCAAATGACACCGATAAAGGCTGTTCACAAGTACTGTGCTCTTAGGACCCACCCATCTTCCTGCAGGATTTAACCTAGCACTCCACCCTCTCACTCCCTCTCTGCTGCTGCCCAGCTTCTCCACTAACTATGTCAAATGAATTGCAATCAAATGCCCATCAGCTGCATCTGATATGATTGACTTCAGCGGCGCAGTTAGATGAGAAATTACAAATTGGCTTCAGCGCTTTTCGTCCTTTCATTTAGCAAGTGCATTTAGCTTGAATAGAATAGAATAACAGAATTGGAAAGGACCTCAGAGACCTTCTAGTTCTGGATATATATTTCCCCCCTTTTTTTGAAGATGGGAACTACATCAGCTCTTTTCCAGTCCCCTGGCAGTTCCCCAGTGCTCCAGGATCTTTGAAAAATATAGTTCAGCTGCTAGGATTTCCTATGCACAATTCTGGAAGCAGGAAAATGTATGTACCACCAGAAGATGTTGTTATAAAAAAATTTTTAGATTGTGCAGAGATAGACAGACTAACAATGAAATTAAGAGACAAAGAAGAGTCAATATATTATAATGTCTGGGATGCCTGGTATGAATGGTTTAAGAATAAAAAGAAATCAAAATGGCAATTAGATAAAGAATAAGAAACTATGTAAATTCTTATATCTATATTCATATCTATATATTTATTTATATATTAAGTTGAAATTGTATAATGAAAGAAATGTGTATGTAGAAAGATGAGAAGGAAATGTAAAAGATGTCTTGATATTGCTATAATGATGTATAAAGTTTTATTTTATGTTTTTAAACGTTGAAAACTAAATAAAATTTAATTAAAAAGAAAAAATATAGTTCAGTGGTTCTGAGATCTGGTCTGCCAGTTCCTTCAAAACCTTTGGGTGGTAATCCATCCGGTCCTGGGGATTTGAACTCGTCTAGGGTGGTCAAGTTCTCACTTACCATTTTCTTCTTTATTTTGATTTGTGGTTCTGATCTGTTTTTTTGTGGTGCTGCTTTTGATAGGTTGGACTGTTTTTTTCCCTTTGTGTAAAGACAGATGCAAAAAAAATGAGTTAAGTAGTTCTGCTTTCTCCCTGTTGCTTGTCATCTTCTTGCCATTTTCTCCCAGCAATTGACTTAACTTTTTTTTCTTGTTTTTAACATGTTGGAAGAAGCTTTTTTTGTTATTTTTTTACTTTTGTCGCAAGCCTTTGTTCATTGTGAACCTTAGTTTTCCTCACACAGCTTTCCTCACCCACTTTCAAGCACTTTGCTTGAAAAGTGGACTGGTTGCTTTCGTGGTGTGGAGACAATAACTTGGTCCTCAACACCAATAAGACCAAGGAGCTTATAGTGAGCTATAGAAGGAACAGATCAGACATCCAGCCCTTGCTTATCAATGGAGACCGAGTGGAGCAAGTGGCCAGTTTTAAGTTTCAAGGTGTTACCATAAAAGAGGATTTGACCTTGGATGCTCACATTGCAGAACTGGTCAAAAGCAGAGATTGTACTACCTGAGAGTTCTCAGAAAACAACAACTGAATGAAAAACTGCTGGTGACCTTCTACCGCTGCACCATAGAGAGTATCTTAACTTACTGCACCTTTGTATGGTTTGCCAATTGCACAGGGGCAGATAGGAAAGCACTCCAGAGGGTTAACGTCATTGCCCAGAAGATCATTGGTTGCCCTCTCCCCTCTTTGGAAGAGCTTTATAGCTCCCACTGCCTTCAGAAAGTTCAAAACATTCTCAAAGATCCATCTCATCCTGGGCACTTTTTTTTTTTTTTTTTTGAACTATTGCCATCGGGCAGAATAATAAAAACAAGGACAAATAGACTGAAAAACAACTTCTATCCCAGGACAGTAGCTCTTTTGAATTCTGCTGTATAGTGCAGTGTTGGTGCAGTGTCGCAGTTTTCGGTTCAATGTGTGGAGTGTGAAGGATGTGTGTTTGTGTTTATTTTCATGGTCATGATGTGCACTGAAGATGGTATTTGATTTCATTATACGAGGTGCAATGACAATAAAGTAAATTAAACTAAACTGAAGGGCTGGTTGCTTCATGTTAAAATTGGGGATCGGTAGATAATAGAGTGGGGAAATCCTATTTTGACTTTGCTCATCAGGAAAAAAAAAACAATGATTGCAGACTTGAGTACATTTATGTTAAGTCTTTCATTTCCCACAAAACATTGACATATGACTTGCAATTTGTTTCCATTCTTGCAGATACGATGCAACAAGTAGCCAAGACCGTGGCAAAGGTGGAACTATCAGACCATGTATGTGATGTTGTGTTTGCTCTTTTTGATTGTGATGGTGAGTATCCTCCATTTGCCTGCAGTCTCGCTCTCATAATAAGAAAGAAGAATTTGTAGGGACCTTTAAGGTCTTCTAGTCCAGCCCCCTGCTCAAGCAGGAGACTATATCAGGGGTGTCAAACTCAAGGCTTGTGGGCCAGATCCAGCCTGCAAAGTACTTAGATTTGCCCCGCCTGGAAATACCAAAGGACCGGCCCGTGGTGCCTCTGCTGGCCAAGACGGGGTGCACGGGGTCTGTGTGCAGCCCCCCGCTCCCCATTTTGGCTGGCAGGGTGCTGCAGGAGGCCATCCAGGCCAAAAATGGGGCATGGGGGGGCTGTCATGGGCCCCCTGTGCCACATTTTGGCTGGCAGGATGCTGCAGGAGGCCTATGTCCCATTTCCCCCTTCCCTGCCAGCCCATGGAGAACTACAATGCTGATCCGGCCCTCGAAGAAATCCACCCCTGCTCTATACCATTCCAGACAAATGGCTGCCTAGCCTCTTCTTGGAAGCCTCCAGGGATGGAGTACAACATCTTCTGAAGGCAAGCCCTTTGTTCTGACCAAGGCTTCCTAAGACAGTAACAATCACACACTGTTCCCAAAAACCTTTTTTTTTTTAAATTTCAATGGCTGTGAATTATATGCATTCACAGCCCGTAATGAAACCCACACAGTTTGTGAATAGTCCAACAGAAGTCTGCCAGTCTTTCAGGATAAGGCTGATAAGCACCCACCTTTATCTCCCTTGAAATGCTGCCAACGACTAAATTGCCAATTAGCTGTACAAGGCCAAACACAGCACAAAGTCAACATGGAGCTTCAGATTTTAAACCGACCAGAACGAACAAAGTTGCTTCCTGCAAAGGCTCATGTCCCTTTGTTCTCCTTTATGTCTTATGGGAGGGGCCAATCATCTCCAAGCCTTACTCCCGAGTCATCCCTTTTGTCTTAACTGTTCTCGCCTTCTGGCAGCTCTGCGCAAGTGCACACTGGGAACAGGCTCCCCCTGTTCCTCTGCCTTGCTGATGTCAGATTCTGGAGGCTCCAGAATCAGCACATAACTCTCAGATGGCCCTGGCCCCATCTCTGTCAGACGCAGATCCCTTGTCCAAGCCCTCCCCAGACTCCAGGACTGGCCCATGTTCCTCCCCACTGTCCGACTCAGCTGCCAGCTCTGCAGGCTGCCCGCAGACCACAACACCATTCCACGGGTTAATTGTTCTCACTATTAGGAAATATGCCCTTAGCTCTAGGTTGCTTCTCTTCTTGATTAGTTTCCATCCATTGTTTCTTGTCTTGCCATCTGGTGGTTTGGAAAATAGGTTGATCCCCTCAAATACTGAGACACTGCTATTATGTCATCCCTAGTCCTTCTTTTCACTAGACTAGACAAACTCAATTCCTGCAACAATTCCTCGTATGTTTTAGCCTCCAGCCCCCTAATCATCTTGGTTCCTCTTCTTTGCATATTGTGACCAGTGGAAAGCCAGGTCCAAAAGCCTTTTCAACTCCAAAGATCACAAGGTGACCTTGGAGAACTCGCCTTCATTCAGCCTTGCAGGACTGACAAGCCAAGGCTATGTGGATGGGGGCCTATCCTCATAGCCACGTTAGACATTATCCTATCAACCACTGGCCCCTTAAGGTTAACTTTACCATGCTTCAAAACTAGGCCAGTCAAACATTCATACGGTACTAGTAGAGTAAGGTACTTTCATGGACAGCTTCTCTGCGATCCATTCTGCTCCATCCAGCAATTCCTCTGGCAGGAAAATCAGCCACCAATCATTCCCCCAGGATTGGTGGCTACTCCCTGCCAATTCATCCACTGTGCTTCTTGAGTTCCATCAGCCAATTAACTGGAATATTTTCTGATCAGTTCAGGGTAGGTTTGTTTTTTTTTAATCAAGTTCATAGTTCATTTGGTCAACTTTTTTAAAAAAACTTTGGGCACCTCCGGGTATTTATTTATTTATTTAGCCACAAGAATGCTGATCTCTTAATCTCTTGGAAGTCTATGATATTCCCAAGGCAAGCATAGCCCTTAGTTTGCAAAGCAGATGCCAAGTTATATAGAGATTCGCTCTTGGTGCTTCCTTTCCTTACGTTGGCCCTGAATTGCCTCTTTAGGCTATCTCTTGGCTGATTTCCAAACGTTACAGTGCTCGAAAATCAAATTCACTGGCGCTCGTTGAGTGTTTGTTTTACCGTTTCCAAAAACCGTTGGCCTTAAAATAAGGGTCTCAGTCAAATAAGGTTGGGTGAAATATTATAAACATGAAGGCACACCAAACAGCCATTGCTTTCTAAATTCAAGAAAAGCCTAGTACAGAAGCCTAATTAATGCAGAGGATCAGAGAAACAGATAGCTGTATTTTCCTTACCACTGGGAATATTGACTTTCAACCAGCATTTGGCCATACATGAGGTTGATGTTTCCTTCTTCAAAAAAAAAAGAAGAAGAAGAAGAAGAAAGTAGCTGCACAAGGAAGGTGGCTGTTGTTTGTTGCCGATGAAACAACTATCCAGCAACTGAACAAGATAAATGGCCCAGCAGAAGAAGACGGTCAGCCTGTTGGGACTCTGCTTATCACTAACCTGCAAAAGACAGCTGGTCTAGAACAGGAGTGGGCGACTATGGCCCCTTTATGACCTATGGACTTCAACTCCCAGAGTTCCTGAGCCAGCTGCACTCAGGAATTCTGGGAGTTGAAGGTCCAAGGTAATAAAGCGGCCATAGTTGCCCACCATTGGTCTCAATTGTATCTAGAATGTCCACTGAATGTTTTGGGCTGCAATACCAGGAAAAATGCTGCTGCCTTGCTAAAATCTGCTCCAGCCTGCCTCAGCGGTGAGCTAGCACTGAGATGGAAGTAGTCGTGAGGAGGACATGTCCTCTATAAAGAGTCAGTAGGCATTTTCCTGCTGAAACAAGCAAACTGTATGTTAGCCCCGTGGACAGGTTAACAACAGTGTACCATTTTTTAAGCTCCTTGAAGGGAACGCAGGATAATCATGTAATTAAAAAAGTCTAATTTAGCATATTGGCTAGTTTTTTTTTTTTTCTGAAAAAGGAGAGCATAATATTGAAATGTCATTTAGGAAAAAAGAAAAAGAAATTAAGAACCCCCACCTGAGAATTGAGCAGCATATAATTTTAATTATTTATTGTGGTTGATTACATAGTTAAATATTTAGACTGGATTTAGCATTTTTGTCTCCCTACTCAGAGAACGTGGGATAAATAGTAGTTGTTCTTTAACATCTATAATAATTTTAGACATTAGTCCAAGTTCCATACATTCTAAGACTGGGAATTTTCAGCCTCAAATCAGATGGGTGCTCCTGATTATTTGTGCAGTTCTGTTTCTTTTCCCCTTGCAAGCATTGTAGCTATAAGACTGCTCCAACATTTTCATAGTTCTGGTTGCTTTTTTCTGCACTTTTTCAGCTCTGTAATATCGAACTATTCTTTGCTATTTTCTAGTGCTGATTATAAATCTTATCTGGATCATCACAAAAAGAAATGGTGACAGAGATATAATTGCAACACAGTAGTTTCACTAGTGCACTAGAAAACAAAGCTGCTTGTGGCAAACCAGCCAACTCCAGGCTTGTTCTTATTTGCAGCTTACCAGAGGTCAAATATATTTTAGCAACTTCTTCTTTTCTGCCATATCCTCATTGTTATTTTGATGTTTGTTTCCTCTCTGGTTAATCTTTGAGGCACCCTTAAGTTATCGTAATCTGCTCCAGAGTTAAAATAATGAGTTTCTGCTGAAACAGGTAATAGGGGAATGAGCAATATGGAAGATATTGTTTCAAAGATCAAACAAACCTGTTCTTGTGGCTTTTGGCATATAGCCATGTTGGCCAGATGACCATGGAAATTGTCTTCAGACAACACTGGTTCCCTCAGCTAGGAAATGGAGATGAGCATCGCCCCCCTAGAGTCAGACATCTTTACTTAGGGAGCATCCTTTGAAGTTGAAACCCTTGCAATCAAAATGGAAACAGGGCCAAGAATTAGCTTTCCTATGTAAACAGCATGAGTTCAGTATTATTACTGATTTGGGAAAAGTACAAAAGTAGGGCTAGTTTTAAACTATTCTCCTCCCACACCCCAGCCGAAATCATTACCTTGGTTCTAATGGGAGTTCAGTATATCTAGAAGGCAGCAAGTAGGTGGATATAAATTTTAAGAGGTTGCTACAGAAGGTTATTTGAAAATCAGTCCTGAAGGGCTCCATGTTAATTATCTCCCTTAATGTATTTGTAGAAGGTGAACGAGGGACCATTATGCTGTAAAAGAATAATTTGGAAAAGACAGGCTACTTCTTAACCAAGGCCAAGAAGCATTGGGATTTAAACTTGTTAAATTGATTATTTTTCTTCTGATAATAAGGCTGGGGAAAGCAAACAAAAATTAGCCTGGGATTTCAAAATCTTGACTCTAAAGTAGGCCACTGGATGACGGAGTTGATTAATAATTTGTTTTGTTGGTAATGTTCCTTCTGCCTTTCAATCTTTCTCATTAAATTACCTGTACATGACACCTAACCAAACCCACACCCCCAATTCCCAGCCTTGGAGAATATTGGAATTATTTATTTATGAAAAAGGCAAACCTTTTTAGTCTCAAGGACTGGAGACACGCAGCGTGACTTTTGATGCGCATAAAATTTCTTACCTAAGCCATATCTGCATAAATCCAGCCAAAGAAGAAAACATGACAAATTTCAGGAAATATCCGAGGTTCCATTGTATGACTTAGCTTTAGTACAAACTCCCCATAATAGCTTTTTAAATGTAAAATTCTTAGAAGGTTGCTTACATCAGACTAAAACATTAACCTGCTTAGATAGCCAATTACGTTCAATTTTACACAGATGAAATGTTTTTCAAAATCCATGATCAAATGGATTGCTGTTCTGTATACAGTCCTCAATTTATAACCAAAACTGAGCCTAAAATTTATCTTGTTAAATGAAACATCAACGTGAGTTTTGCCCCGG